TATGTAGTGTACATTACATATACATTAACTATTTAGTGTAGGCTGGCATTGAACTTACTTTGTAGCCCAGGTGGGCCTTGGACTCACAGTGATCCTTCTGCCTCAGCCTCCCAAGTGCTGGGATTGCAGGCATGGGCCACCACGCCAGTCCCAGTTGTTGATTCTTTGTGATAGTTCTTGTGCAATTAGGGTTTTATTCATCAAGTCTTTGCTTACACTGTCTTCAGGATTTTTACCTATTCTGCTTTCCAGCAGATTTAATGTTTCTGTCTTAATATTTAGATCTTCTATCCATTTTGAATTTAGTTTAGTGTGTGGTGAAAGATATGGGTCTGCTTTTAATCTTTGACATGTACAGAGCCAGTTTTTCCAGCACCATAAATTAAAGAGGCTATCTTTCTTCCGATGTATGTTTTTGGCCCCTTTGTCAAAGATAAGGTGGTTGAACATGTCTGGAGTTGTTTCTGCATCTTCTAGTCTGTTCCACTGATGTTTGGGTCTGTTTTGTTTTTGTTTTTGTTTTTGTTTTTGTTTTTCTAGTACCACACTGTTTTTATAACAGTAGCTTTGCAGTATAATTTCAAGTCAGGTATTGTGATGCCCCTTGCCTTTACTTCGTTGCCCAGAATTGCCTTTGTTATTCTAGCTCTTTTCTGAACCATTTAGATATTACAAGTTGTTATGGTTGATACATCATGTCAACTTGAGGAGTCTAGAAACTTAACTAACTCAGCAGTTCTACATCTTGAGATGAAAATGACATTCCCTTACTGCCCTAGGATGCTGTTCATTGTGTCAACTTGAGAAGTTTAAAAGTTCAGCTAAGTGATTTAGCAGGGGGCCAGGGTCCTTACTTTGTGAACATCCTCCGCTTAGGAAGAGGAGGGCAGGGAGATGGTGTAGGCATGGGTGGATATCTGATATACAGTATAAGGAGGGAAAAAGAGGCTTGCTTTCCCCCCATTTGGGGGCTTTTGCTGTCTTCTGCCACTTTGAAGTGTTGCCCCTGTGCCACACCACCCTGCCTTGGAGCCAGCTGATTAGGGACTGAAACTTCCACAAACTGTGAGCTAAATAAAGCTTCCTTAATTTTGGTTGTCAGGTATTTTGTCCCAGCAACAAGGGAAAAGTAATCAAGACATAAGTGTTCCTGAAAATGATAGCTAACTCCTAATTCAGAAGAACAGGTTATTCAGGCATCACCTTAGTCTGACCTCTTTGTGAATTGTTTCAATGCCTGCAGTTCAAGGTGTTGAAGATTGATTTCCTGTCATTGCTGATTCATTTGTACTGTGCCAGGAATTTTTCTCTAATACTGAAGTGGATGGGTGAAGAGCAGTTGTCTCTACTCTGTGGAACTAGTCTAGGTGGAGAACAGACCTGTAACTAATTGTAGTGTGGTTGATGCCTCTGTGTGTGTGTCTGTGTCTGTGTGTGTGTGCATTCAGAATTCCATGAGATGAAAAAAACATTCCATAGAAGCATAATGGCCACAGGGATTAATTCTGTGAAACTAAAATTTTATTCCAGAGGACCATTTGACTTGTGGTTTTGTTTGTTTGTAGAACCGGGGCTTGAACCCAGGACCTTTCTACTGAGCTACATCCCTAGCCCATTTTTTTATGTTTTATTTTGAGACAGGGTCTCATTGAGTCACTGAGTTGGCCCAGGTTGGGCTTGCATTTGGGTTCTTCCTGTCTGAGCCTTCCAGAGTGCTGGGGTTATAGCTGTGCACAACCACGTTTTCTGAGTTTTTTCCTTAAGGTTGGATAGGAGCTTTCCAGGAGAAAGCAACATGAGTGAAATTGTGGGGACATGAAAGTGTGTAGGGAAATTGTTAGTGTGGTGTGACATGAAGTGAAACATTGCTGAGAAATACTGCCTTCTTTTCCTCACAACTCAGCATTGATCACTGTTTTTGTTTTTTCAAAAATTTCTTATAGAGCAAGTCTGTTGATTAAAAAATCCTTTTACTCTTTATCTGAAAATACGCTTATCTTCATCTTTTTTGTTTGTTTTTCAAGACAGCATCTTGCCATGTAGTTCAGGCTGGGCTTGAGCTCACTATATAGCCAAGGGGGTGGTCTTTACCTCCCAGTGATCCTCCTGCCTCAGCCTCCTAGAGTGCTGGGATTACAGGCGTGCACCAGCACACCAGGCTCTTATCCTCATTCTTAAGGATATTTTTGTAAGGCTCCAAGGAATGTGACTCTCCCAGCCCCCAGCCTGCTTGCCAACACAAGCACTGCTCTCTGCAGGGAACTCAGCTCAGCACCTGAGGCTGTCATCACAGGCGTAGGAGGTTGTGGAGGAGATAGGCTAGGACATGGAATTTTAAGTCCTGGGAACATCTGGAGGCACTTTAAGGACTCCGCTGAGATGCAAGACTGCCAGAAAACTTTGCCCACAGATGTTTATTGGGGTTTTGCTGCCTAATGTCCCGGCCTTCTTCTCTCCACCCCTATAAAAGGGTCACACTTGGTCTTATCACGCTCTTTGCCTGCCTGCACCCAGGCACAATACATTCCACACTTCGTTGCCTTTACACAAGCCTAGGGTGTTTCCCCTGCCCCCATACGTTCCGTGTTATTTTCACTGATTATAGAATTCTGGGTTGAGTGGGTTTTCTGTTGTGTTGTTTTGTTTTAATCCTTTCAGCATTTAAAATGCGTTTTACTATTTTATGGCCTTCATTATTCCTAAAAAATCCTTCTATCGTTGTGTTTCTTTAATCTGTCACTTTTCTCTGGCCACTTTCCAGTTTTGTCTTAAAAATTGTTCCTCAGATCCTGAGAAACTATTTTGTAGATAACAATATGTAAAACAATAACCATTGATAATTTCCTACCATTTTGTCTGTAATTTGCTAAGTCCCCCCTATTATTATGTTATCCTTCTTTTACTCTTTAAAATTAAAAAAAAAAAATTGTTCCTCAGAAATTTTACCATAATGTGCCTAGGGTGCTCTCAAAAAAAGTTCATTCTGCTAGAGTTTATGGTTTTCATGAAATGTAGGAAAGTTTCAACCACTGCTTCTTCAAATATTTTCCATCTTATTCTTGCTTCTTGTGCAAAGAACTTTCATTTTGGTCTTTTAACAATACAGCCTTGGTGTGTTGTTGCCCAGCAATACACCAAGGCTTTGTTCAATTTTTAAAATCTTTTTTCTCTGTTCTGTAGATAATTTCTGTTGATTGCACCTCAACTCACTGACCCCTCTGTCATCTGTCATCTTTGTTAATCCTAAACCTATCTGATTGTGTTAAAGTTCCAGATATATTTTTTAGTTCCTGAATTTGCAAGTTTTTCTTTCTTTTTTCTTTTGGTTTTTCTTTTTCCCTCCTGAGATTGCCTATTTGTTCATTTATGTTTTCTTTTATGTCTGTCTCAGTTACTTTCTTGTCCCTGGGATACAATACCCAACGCCAGCAGGGAGGAGGCTTTAGCCTATAGCTGTCTCCAAGGCGGGGCGGGTGGCACCGGAGCCAGGCTGCTGGTGGCCTGGCCTGTGGGAGGCAGAAAGAGGAGGGTGCAGCGGGGAGGATGATGAGCCCTTCCGGGCCATGTCCCCTGTGACCCAAGTCTTGTTATTTAGCTCCTTCAGAAATGGAGTCTCCCAGCAGGGCACGGGGGTAAACATTATAATCCTAGTACTTGGCAGGCTGAGGCAGGAGGACTGTGAGTTTGAGGTCGGCTGGGCTACACAGCAGGAGCTTGTCTCGAAAAGAAAAACAGATGAACGATGACAATCACCAACATCCCTGTCTGTCTCCCTCTCCTTCCTTCCCTTTCCCACCTTCCCAGTGAAAATGCCCCTAGATCTGTTCAGATGCTTCCTGAAGGGTCATTCACGGAGAATGTTCTAAATTTTAATTTATTACTGTAAGACAAGATGTTAGATTTTATTTTTTAAAAAGCTTATAATGGAGGGTAGGGAGATACGGCCTTTGGTCAGTCAGTGCATGTTTAACATTACAAAGGAGGTGGAGTTGCTCTAGACGTGATGTGTGCAACCTTTCAGACTTGATTTTTACTTTGCAAGGTATAGGTTGAGATCTTCAGTAAGATTTGTTCATTTTGGATTTTGGTTGGTTGTTTTTGAGGCAGGGTCTCATTATTAGTTCAGGCTGGCCTCGAATTCACCCCAGTCCTCAGCCTTTTGATTGCTGAGACTGTAGGTGTGCTCTGTACACCCGGCTTGGATATAGGTTTGGTAACAACACACATTCCAGAATGTTAAGAGTCATGGGGGACTGCAGCTCCTTTGGAGGTGCTTGGTGGGGAGGGAGGAGTCAAAAAGCAGGGGCTTCTGGTCTCCAAACCTGTTTTGTTTTCTCTTTGGGGTTGTGCACCAGATTTTATTTAAAGAAAGTGGCTGGGCATGATAACGCATGCCTGTAATCCCAGCTCTTGGGAGGCCGAGGCAGGAGGAACTGCAAGTTTGAGGCCAGCCTGGGCTACAAAGAGAGTTCAAGACCAGGGGCGTAGTGAGACCCTGTCTCAAAAAGACCAAATTAAAAAAAAAAAACAAAACCAAGATTTAGCTGTTACAAATTGTGTCTCTATAAACATGGGTGTGCATATATCACTGTGGCATGATGCTTTTAATTCTTTAGGGAAGATACCTAGAAGGGGCATAGCTGAGTCAAATGGAATCTCTAGTTTTAGTTTATTTTGTCTTTTTGAGACAGGGTCTCACTATGCAGTTCAGGCTGGCCTTGAGCTCACTTTATAGCCCAGGCTGGCCTCGAACTTGCAACCATCCTCCTGCCTCAGCCTCCTGAGTGCTGGGATTACAGTGTGTGCCACCAGGCCCAGCTTAGTTTTAGTTTTTTGAGGAATCTCCACACTGGTTGCACCATGGTGGTTGCACCAATCTACACTCCCACCGACAGTGGAGAAGGGTTCCTTTTTCCCCACAGCCCTGCCAGCATTTGCTATTGGTTGACCTCTTGATAGTAGCCATTTTTTCTGCAGTGAGATGGAATCTCCTTGTTTGAATTTGCATCTCTGGAATAACCAGTTACGTTGAACATTTTTTCCTATATTTTTAAATCGTCCTAGTTTGAAAGTCCTGAAAAATTAATCTCGAGGAGAATTGCGAGACTCTAGGAGAGCAGTCAAGTCAAGTTCAATGTCTAAGGTGGAAAAAATATGAAGGTGGTGATATTCACAACAGTAACTGCCACACAGGTGCTGCTCGTGAGTGCCGCATTCCCATCTCGGAGCTGGTATCTTTCCTTAGTTTGGTGCAGGGATTATATTAACACCTACTTCATTGAGTTGTTGTGAAGACCTATGTGAGAACGGAAAGATATATAGAAAGAGTTTAGAACACTGTAAGTACTCAGTAACTGTTAACCCCTAGAGTACATCCTCAGCCCTTTTTAATTTTTATTTCGAGACAGGGTCTCACTAAATTGCTAGCCTTGAACTTGAGAGCTTCCTGCCTCAGCCTTCTGAGTACCTGGGATTACAAGGGTACACCACCGTGCTGGCTAGGGAACCTTAAATGATCCTATTGAGCAGTATAGCATTTCAGAAAGTCAGAGAAGGCAAGGTGTGAGAAAAGAGAGTGTAGTTAATTATTAATACAACTATCAGGGGGCTATATTTTGTTAATCTTTTAGAATTTTTATTAGTACATGTTTACAGTACAAACTGGTTTACATTTACCGTGGAGAGCTAACACACACACACAACACGTCTTAATTCTTTTTATGTCCGCCTCTAAACGGGTGGGTGGCACACACCTGTAATCCCAGCACTCAGGAGGCTGGGGCAGGAGGATCACTGTAAGTTTGAGGCCAGCCTAGGCTACAAAGTGAGTTCAAGGCCAACCTGAACTGCATAGTGGGACGCTGTCTCAAACACACACACACACACACACACACACACACACACACACAGAAGAAAAAGGAAAGAAAACCTGGGTTTCATTTGTGAGTCTGTAGGAATGTAAACAGAATGTTTAGAATTTTACTAAAGGGTAAGACTGTATGCCGTAAATGCAGACTATTTATATTAAAATACAAATACTCCAGTAATGTCAGAGTGGCACATGTAATTTAGAGTTCCCGAAGGGAGTATGTGACAAGAGCAAAAAGGTGAACACAATGTACTGCCCGGACTCCCTGGGGCCTCAGCTGTGCTGGTGGCTGGGCTGGAGCCCTCCCATGTAGGGCAGCGGCCTGCGCTCCCCGGCCTGTCCCGCAGTGTCCTGTTCCTTCACAGTGTTTTTATTTGCTTTCCTTCCAGTCGCTTACTTTAACTTAAACCTGTGTTTTAAAAGGCATCAGAGAAATTTAAACTGGTTTTTAATCTCTGAAATGTTAAGGACTCACTTAATTGACCCTGTCTCTAGAATGACTGAGCCTTTGTATATTTTGTCTGGACTTTGTTAACTGTGTTTGGGAACTGGACAGTGTTTATCATGATACGCTCTGTAATGTCTTCTTTCAAATATCATCCTGAGACGGATTTCCCATAATCTCCAGCGTAGTGCTAAATATGCTGCAGATATTCAGGTAGTACTTAATGATTAAGTAAAAAAGGTGGGAAATTGGGGACATCGTATTATTTGATTTTATTCTTGCTTGTGCAGTGGGTGTTTCGGAGGTAGGCACAAAGATGTATTATAAAAGTAATAGAGATTCAGATTGTTCCTCACCTTGTAGCCTGATCGATCCTTCATGATTGATTTTTTCTTAACCTGTTTTCAGATTTCTCCCCTAAGAACACACAGTAGCACTGTGAAATACATGTATTGAACTCTTATTGTAAATATATTTTAAATAAGTTGTTAAAGTCATGCTGTTTATATTTAAACATCCCATTGTATTCTGACAGTGTTATCTCAGAAATCTATACACTCTTGTCTACAGCAGGCATCATTTTTCATGACAAAGAACAGAGGGAGCAGAGCCTGTTCTTCCAAAGAAGGCTTTTCTCATGTCTTATAACTGACGTGCTCAGTAACTTCTGTTTGGTGGTACTGGAGATGCAGCCCAGGGACTCCACACTGAACTACACCTTCAGCTCTTCTTATTTTGAGACAGAGTCTAAGTTACTAAGTTGCTCAGACTGGGCTCAAACTTGAGTTTTGTTTTTGATCCTCCTGCCTCAGCCTCCCAGGGTGCTAGGATAACAGGCAGGTGCCACCCTGCCCAACTACTTAACTGTTGAATAAATAGTTCAGTGTGTGTAAACTTTCCTACCGCAGGACGCAGTATGTTCTAAAGGCTAGAATTTATCATAGAAGGTACTGGGGAAGAAAACCCACTAGATGAAGAATCCCAACATGTTCGGTTAAATTCTACCTCCAGTCTTAATTTAGCTTTGTAAGTTTGGACAAACTATCAGATCTTTTCAACTTTACTTTTCACCAATATGAAGTGAAAAACAAGAGTAATTAGATATCTCTTGAGGTTTTTCTTTTAAACTTCAGTATAGATGTCTAGCATCTGGCCTTTACTTAACCTTTGCTCCCTCGTAGCCCCCAGTGCCTCCGTAGGGCCCACCAGTCGCCCGCTGTCCAGTCGCGAGTGCTTGTTAGCACACCTACGCTGTCTGCTCCTGCTAGTTGAGTCACTGCCTTCCAAAAGTCAATTGTGTTTATCCAAAACCTCTTTATACTGGTTTTCTTGTTACTATATTTATATAATTTAAATGTTATATTAGTCGGTGAAATCAGAGTATAAAAATAGTTGTTTTTATGAGGACTAAGTTTTGAAAAACTAAATAATTTAACAGAAAGGTGACTTTCATATATATATATATAGAGAGAGAGTCAGATTAGATAATAATTTAGGTAGAGCCAGGCATGGTGGTGCATACCTGTAATCTTAGCACTCTGGGAGGCTAAGGCAGGAGGTCAAAAGTTTGAGCCCAGGCTGAGCGATTTAGTGACCAATCAGGACCTTGTCTCAAAGTAAAATAGAAGCAGGCTGGGGATGTAGCTCAGTGTGAAGACCCTGGGTTCAATCCCAATGAAGGAGAGGGAATACAGATGAGGTAAAGAAAAGGTGTGTGGGGGGGTTAAAAATCTATGAAAATCCTGGCATGGTGGCACACGCCTGTAATTCCAGTAATTAGGAGGCTGAGGCAAGAGGATTACCATGAGTTCCAGGCCAGCCTGGGGTACATAAGCAAGTTCAAAGCCAGCCTGAACTGTATAGTAAAACCCTGTCTCAATTGTCTT